CCGGGGAGAAAGAGTGTAAACGACTGAGGCTCGCATGCGTCACCGCTACTAGAACTGAAGCAGAATGAGTGACAAGCGATTTCAGTGATAATTGATAGTGAATAGAAAAGAGGATGCTTGAAGAGTATCATGAGGTGCTGCTATGGTCACGTTGCATTCTGCAAGAGTCATTCTAGTAAGTGGCGATTGTGTTGCAAGATGTCAAGAGGAGGTATCTGTCTGGAAGCGCAGGACGTCAGCGATGTGTGAGATTGTGCTGTGGGTATGCTTGTGGTGTGTTGGCTTTCCTGTTTGTTTTCCATTTCAGCTCTGTCCGTGTGACCCAGGTTCTCTCACTGGCATCCAAGTCAACGTGCATTGATCGTGAAGGAGAAAAGGGTTGGATCCCATTTTTGCCGGGGAGTGTCAATGGAGTTGAAGATTGAACGATCAATTCTTGGTTGTTTGCTCAAAATCAACTTCCCTGATTTTCGCGGAAGCATCAATACGTCAGTCATCGTCTCATCGGTCGCTGTTCAGAAAGAAGAGTGAAACATCGTCAGAAGTAATCTTATGATTTATTATTGTAATATTTGTTTACAGACCTTAGTTCGCTTATTCCTTTTATATGTTGGTGTAACAATACAGAAATATCAAACGGCAGATCGGTGTTTTGGTTTTTGCGTCCGTTATAACTAAGCGTTTCTGAGAAATCTTCGAAGAACAGCGTGGGCCCGAGCGTAGTGAGAGCTGGGCATTAACTGTTAATGAGACGTGATTGACAACTTCTTTACATTTATTTGTTCGTCGTGGCTCTGTGCGTCGCCCCCTGGAACCCCGATACGACGGACCATACAAATTCATTCAACATACAGATAAATTCTTTGTCTTAGACATAAAAGGCCGCGAAGACACCGTCAGCATCGACCGACTGAAATCGGCCTACTTGGAAGGTAATTTCATTAGCCTAGAACCGAACATTCTCAATGATCCACTAGTAACCGAATATCCTTTAGTCCTCGAAGAGGTCACCAGCACGGCGAAAGCCACCGGACCTTCTGTCGAGCCCTCAAACAAAATGCGTTCTGGAAGTAACATAGGATTCCCAGAATGTCCTGGCACCTATGTAACATAACTAAGTGGTGCGATTCATCCGAGTCATTCGTTTGTGGTACTTATTATTTGTTCTTTTCAGACTCATTAATTTTTAAATTGCATCCCTAAACGCAAGTAGAAATTTTTCTATAACCATACATGCTACATGCACTAAAAAAATAGGTGCATACTTTTTCGATGTTCTAAATTTTGCATTATTTTACTGTATGGTAGGTGCACATCATTTTTCAAACATTATATTTGGTACATCTTCCTCAGCAAGGCTCTTGGCATTCTTGTTTTCTTTTCTAGGTGTGGCGGGCACTAAATGGACAAGAAGCAAATGAAGCACGAGATCCATTGGACAAACATCACCGAAGCGACATACAGACACCCTACTAGCATAGGTAGACGACCAGTAGGCACTCCACCAAGCCGCTCGGAAGAGTTTTGTTTGGCGATGGGGAACCGCCGAGTTTTTTACTTCCGGCAGGTTCTGTCTTAGGGGTCTTCACAACCCCACTGGGGAGGGAGTGAACTGTAGCGCTAAACACTTCCCCTAAATTATTGACTACAGCAATTATCACTGAATATTGGATGCTGACTCTCACTGTTTAAGTCAACTTGTCTAGCTGAAGGCTTCAGGTCAAGCATCCACGCCATTTGTTACTCCGTCATGCCACGTTCGTGCACGATCCCTAGCCAGTTAAGCATTCATCTCGCCCTGCAATTCGCTCCCGAAATTTATCTCGTAGTTCGTACAGCCAATTGTGGTCTTTTGCTTTGCCTCTGGTCTACGAGGAACGAATACTACAGAAGTTGTTGGTATTAGGCCTTGCGTTAGTATACTCCGTACAATCCGCCAACGTCGATACCGCCAGCTTCTAAAAGTCCTTATAACCGCCACAAATTATATGGCTACAATTATTATTTCTCACTCTCACCACACCGGACGACTAGTAGGTGGAACAACGAACTCCATTCACATTAGCAGCTGGTTCTTAACACATTGCACAGTGCGAACCCCCATATAACCAGTCCAAAATACACTCCCCTTCGTAGTTCAAGAAGACTACTACGGTCGAACGGCGGGACAGACTATGCAGAAGTTCACTGAAGTTCAAGAAACTGTACATGACAACTAGGAAGCGAGCTTCAACGAAATCGACTTTGTTTGCAGTAGACCGTGAAAGGTATAACAGATACTGGATAACCTTGGAAGTTCGTTATGTGCATTTCCAGATGCACTCTTTAAAATATACATGTCATCATTAACCATGGGGTATTTTCATTATTGGACTATCCTTAACTAAATAGAATATTGCCTATGCTACTCCGAATAACTGAATATTATGACAACTAACTATGCCACAAAATTTCATCAGTTTCGATTGTGCAAATGGGATAAACATGCTTATTGTGTGATTTCTTTTTCTTGTATGTGAAAAAACAATGCTGTCACCTTTTCTATTGATATACTGATCCTTATCTTAAAAGTGTGCTCTTAAATGCAATTATGGTGCTGATATTACTTGCTCTTGATATAGTAATGAGTAACGTGTATTTTTTCTGAAGATCGGAAAGTTTCAACTTACAATCAAGAAGTGGTCCGAAAGATATGATTCTAGCTTCCGCTAGCTGCCAGAAAGGATATCAGACATGTTTTCAGTTTTTATCGATGACTTACCATACCGTCCAAGCTGGCCAACTCTTCTTTACGCTGATGACGTAGATTTAAGGAGCAATAAGGTGTTTGGAAGACTCAGATGGTCTGCAGGTGGGCCTTGGACATCTGGGGACTGGGCAGTGGCCAATGGTATAACTTTCAACCTGAAAAAGCGCAAAGTAGTGGAATTATTCACCTGTAGGCTGCAGAATGCAAGTTCCACCCTGAGCAAGGAAAGCTCGTCCTGCACAACGTCGGAGAGTGACTCAGGCCTAGTTCTAACGGAAAAATAGGCACGATCGTGAATTACCCGGGGGATGTAGTGAGAGCATATGCAGTCATACACATTAAACATAGAAAGTAAAATGCACTCAATCCCGAGCTCGTTCTAAGGTTGCTGTCAGCCAAGTGTCACGAACTGACAATGTCCGGTTCTTACTACGCTGGGCCTCACGCTGTCCCTCGAAGACTTTCAGAAACACTTCGTATTAACCAACGCAAAAACCAGAACAATGATTGGTGACTCAACAATCCTTTATTCTTACGCCAACATATACATATATATGGTCTGGGAATAAATGTTATAACAGTAAATCACGGTAATACTTCTGATAGTTTTTATTCTTCCTCTGAACAGCGAACGATGAGACGACTACATTGACACTCCCCGGCAAAAATGGGATCCATTCCTTTTTCCATCACGACCAATACACGTTGACTCGGATGCCAGTGAGAGAACCTGGGTCACACCGACAAAGCTGAAATGGAAATCAAACTGCAAAGCCAACGCACCACAGGTATACTCACAACACAATCTCACACATCGTTGACGACCTACGCCTTCTAGTTAAAGGCATCCTCTTGACATGTGGCAATACAATCGGCACTTGCTAGAATGACTCTTGCAGAATGCAACGTGACCATAGCAGCACCTAATGATAGTCTTCACACGTCCTCGTATCTACTCACTACCAATTACCACTGCAATCGCTTGTCACTCATTCTGCCTCAGCTCTAGTAACGGTGACGTACGCAAGCCTCAGGCGTCTACACTCCCGCTCCCCGGCGTGTGGGATCACAGCTAATTATTATCTCCTTATTCATGTCATTCTCATCATAAGCCTCTCCGGCGTATACGACCCATCTGCTGTCTTTGACATCCATCAATTCATTCACGGATGCGGAAAACTAGAAACAACTTCAGAAGTAATCACGACGAAAAATTTAGCAAAATTATGCAATAGAATTAAGTTCGAAAACATTAAGTGAACACAGTGAATCCCAAAACATCGATTGATATGACGCACCACACATATATACAAACAGTACACATAAACTCGCGGATCATTTCTTGATGGAATTCCTTTGAAGAATCGCAGGACTTACACCAGTACGACTTCAACCCATCTCACGTTGGCGATTGTAAGTTGTGGAATGTCCGGACACAAACAAGATTAACCAACAATTACATTAATTGGAACTCACACAACTATTTAACACCAACATATGTACAATCAATACATCAAATGTTGTGAATTCTGCCTTGACAAACTACCCTTGAAGAACTGTAGGACCTACAGCAGTACGCCCACATTCCTTCTCAGGTTGATTATCCAAGTGGAAGACGTCCAGACACAAACAGAATTACCAACATATAGATGAGAGATGATACCAATTCAGTATATACAACATGAATATATGTACAATTTAACACACCAATTGTGATGGACTTCGCTTCGATGAACTACCCTTGAAGAATTATTTCTATTATTAGTAGTATCTCTTTTCTTATGTTGGCGACACCAGATGAACAGCTTGTGAAATGACCAGCTCCATTCACAGTAGCAAGACGGTCTTAACACGCCGTATACTACAAACAATATATAATTAATCCCAGCACCACTCCTCCTGGAGTCAAACAAATTCTCGACAGTCGAGTGTCGAGGTGAACTACACAGAACTTTACCGAAGACGAGGAACCTTTACCTCACAGTCAAGAAGCGATAACAAAGAAATCAGTTTGGGTTATACTGGTTCATAAAAAAGACACTGTATACAGGAGTTTTGTAATGTTGTGTACTTGTTCTCACACCTAAACTCCTTGAACGGACTCCCAGAAGATGTACTGTGTACAAGCTCAACTGATTCGTTCAAGAAGGGTTTGAATAACCACATAAATTTACTAGAAAACGATTAACATAGGCCCTAAGCCTTCTATCCTCAACCAATATGTTTGAATCTTCTAATGAGAGCATTGAATATTGAAATCTCTGCAAACAGTTGAACAGCAAGTTTATTTCTGCGCATCGTGGGAGTGTACCAACAATGAGTGGTAGGCTAGCCTCTTTCAAATTTATGATAGTATTATGCTAGACTCTGAACAAAATGATAAACAGGGTAGCCCAGAAGTTCCTAGGCTTACTTGTAAGTTGGTTATTATCAAATTATTTTCTAGTGCTAAATGAAAATGCAAGCAACACTCTACAAAGTTTGTATCAGTTTGTTGGTAGGCTATTGGTTTTATGTCTTTGCTTAACTTATTATAGCTTCTCCGGACATTAAGAACTCGACAGTAATTGTTTCTGATGGAGTCAATATAAAGGAGCTCACCCAACTAAATATAAGCCCTATATGTAAGTTGTAATTTTCTGCTGCATCGCCAAGATTCACCTTGTTTTGATAGCCCCTTGATTTTGCATGGTGACTCTAACACATTTGGGATCACTCACCAAAGTTCTCCCAAAACTGCTAATGATGGAACGAGTCGTAAATTACTAAAGAAGTCTGAGTTAATAGGAAACATTTCCAAAATCGCTGAATCAGAAAGGTATGACGTGGACTATTTCTTGTCTGTTATTTTGGGTAGTCTCAACGCAATATTCATCTCATAGAAAAATATATATTATATGCTATATATTTTTTTGTTAAAAAAATAAATGTAATTCCTGACTTTTCTGCTTTAGATGTTTCGTGGCTTTGTAATTTAGTAGTAAAATGGGCCAAATTACCTGATTCAATTTTATGCCCACAAGGTAAATTAATTTCACAAGAAGTACATGAACGAGTTGAATGACTCTTGTCATGTCAGTACTGGCTTGATTTAATCTTGCTCAGACAAAGATATACACTTGAAATCACAGATAAATAGAACTTTGCGTGCTTGAAGACCAAGTTATTAGAGAAAAAAGTTCCAATTTCAGCTGAAAATTAAGGTGCTTATTTTAATATTTATTCCTAAAACCCACTAGGAATTCGAAAATTGGGTCTTCATATCTTCTACTTCGAAAGCTGTTTTTGTTAGTAAACTGTGTTCGGTTATTATTGTTTTGTAGCATACACATACTGTAGTGAATTTAAACTTAAAACTTTTAAAAGTTAACTAAATGGAAAAATTATACTCGATCTAAGTTATATGTTAAGTGCACTTGGTTCTAATCGTAAATTATCATATTTCCTGGCTTTAATTAATGATATTTAGCCTAATCTATGATTTTCTGGTATTGCAAGTCAGTGCACTCATCTTTTTCACAGTTTTGAACAGGTTCACACATTATCGTAATTTTTGTACCTTCACTTCACTTCTGACTGTTACATGAAATGTATTATATGCTTATACACAAAATCAACCAGTTTTAAGCATTTAACACGTAATACTAACCAAAACAAGTGTTGAAGAAATGCACTTATTTTGTTGCATTCCCTTGCCTAAACATTTTGATTCCTTAAAGGAAAATTAAAAATCTACATTACTTATCGTAGTTGCATTAAGAAGTAAATGATTAAGCAACATGCCTTGTTCTGCAGATCGCTTTGCAGATAGTTAAAATAAACAATATAGAGCTAGCTTTAAAATTTCTAGTTTGTAAATAAGTATATTTAAAATCTAATTAAACGTAGATCTGGTTCTTGCATTCATATGGTTGGTTTGGCAGACTGTAGAGAAACAAATACTACTCAGAAAATTCTTTGTCTATGATATTTGTTATCTAGAGACAGTATCCAGTAAACATGAGGTAGAGCGCAAATCCAAAAGGTCACCACTTTTACGTTTCTTTTGGTATATTTAGCTTTGAACGTCATGCAGACATAATCTGAAGTCACTTCCTTGGAGAGTCTAGTCGAACTCATGATTGCTGTTTGAACACATCATTTGTTTCCTGATAGTTTTAGCTGTTGGTTACTATACAAAAGTTTTCCCTCAGTTCTCTTTCTTAAGCCTTATTGGAGTGAACATTGTTTCGCAGAGAACCCCTTTGCTTTTTCTTTACTTACCATTTTGAATGTCAAGACGAGTTTAAAGATTTTCTTTGTATCAGCCTCACCCTTGAGTTTGAATACAATGGACACTAAAGATTACATGCTATAAGTAGCAATGCAGATGAATGATAAAATTTATAATATGGTAAGAGAAGAACTCTTAACTTTAGATCTGAATAAAGTTTACATCTGATTTAATAACTTTGTGTTGATTTAACTAGAGCTTGAAATTGTAGACTATGATTCTAAAACAGATTTCGTGAGTTAAAGAACTTTTGTTTTCTTTATTTTATAAAATACTCCTTTTCATGTGTTTCGTTGAGGTAGGGAACAAGTGTATTTTCTGTTTACTTGAAATGCCTACCTCGAATTGCTTTTAATAATATCTAGTCCAAGAAAGCTACTGTAGTGCTAAAGTTTTACTTTGGGAATGTTTCTGATTTCACAATAGTTTCAGATGTCATTTCCAGCAGATAAAGTAGGTCCCCTTTGCAGTAGTTGTCTAGATACAATTTACTGCTAAATAATTTTTGTTGCTCACTTGAGATATAAAGCCAGTTTAATTCAACGTTTCAGTCAGTTTTGGCTCAGAAGCACGGCAAAATGATTTCCCCAGTCATCTGATTCCAGATATCTATGGATTTGAAACAATAAAGTAAGGGACGCATAATTTTGGAAAATATTGTAGACAATTTAATGATACAAAAGACAATAATATGTTGCTTAAACATGCAGTGTATTGTAACTTCCAGACTGAAAGCCTCTATCAGTATAAGGAAATTACTATGCACTGAATGTTAACTTGTAAATTAGGAGAATGAAGCCAAATATAATTCTTATAAAAAATAAAAAAATGATCTGTCTGTTAACGACATGTGTAACTGACAGGCTGGGTTCCAACACAGAACTCAACATAAGAGTGCAGCAGTTCAAGCTGGCACACTCTGTGGGGAACAAAAGAACTATAATAAACTGAAGTGTGAGGGGAAAGAGAGAATAGTAACAGGGAGATTTACTGGGTGTGGGAGATCACAATTAGTGAGTGCATCTGCGCCAGGAAGTATGATTTTCAACCTTATCACTGGTAGTCTTAAGGCACTGGTTCTTAGAATCACGAGGATCCATACGAAGAAGCTGAAACCTTTCCATATGGCTTCAACCAACTGTCAAAGGCTGAGTGAAATGATGTCGAATTTTGGTATGACTGACCCTAACTCTTTTCCAACCTAATCCTACATCACATAACGTGGCCCGCCGAGGAAGGCGATATCTCAGCACGCGCAGCATATTCCCTAGGTATCTAATTTAACGAAGCTTCAAAACCTTATGAGCCCTCATTACCTGACATTACGCCTCGCCTCAGTATTACTTACATTATTATGCTACTTAATACGAGAGATAGAATGCAAATATCAGTGATCAAAGATGACTAGCCTTTTCAAATATTTCACTTTCAATGGCCATGTCTCACAGCTATTAAGCGAGATGGAGTGAAATACTGCGCAATAACACATCCTCTGATCTGTAGCCGCATATCACGTCCGAATGAGATGATGTGAGTTGGCAAGTACCACACAAGCTTTATGTATCGGTGCTGAAATTCCGTGAGAAATTAGTCCATCGGGAGTGATGCAACTGTCCAAATAAGTTAAGTGGACAATACGTTCTACCACCTTATTACCTATCTTCAGGCTAGAAGTCGGCACATTCCAATCCTGAAGCATCATCATATATTTGAGAGGAAAAAATCTCATAGCAAGTATTCATAGATTTCTACCCAAGGTGTTCAAAAGACTCTGATTCCTCCGCGTATTCTAGGTCCACAGAACTTTCCCCTAGTAACCAATCAATCTCTAGGCTGTTAAATTCAATTATGGTCATTTCTAATAGTGGTAGCACTGCAGTCTATTTGAATGAAAGATAATTGGTCTCGATCAGACACTGTGGAATTAGTTATCCCCTGCAACAGCAGAGTTGACTTAACCTTTTTTATCCTCTATTAGACTTGAAATATAAATAATTATTTCGTTTTTTGGAAAAATGTTTAAAGGATAGTGTTCACTCGGAAAGTTTTGCCTTTGAATGCCTAATACACATGGGTCCATGAAACTGATATTGAATTATCCTCACCTGTTTTGCATTAGGTCTACTGATGTCCATTTTTACGGGATGCATCCTTAATAGCTTTGCTCGTACAAAAAATAAAGCGGAGATAAATTTTGTCAGTATGATGTAAATTTCTAATAGAAATCTGCACTGATGTAGCTTCATCCAATAAATTTAATTTTACAGCATAATTTCATCACATGAATGTATTGATCGTTAGTTGATGATTCGGTTGTAGATTAATTACCATACGCAAGGGAGGGTCAGGTTTTGTTCCCAGCCAAAGTACTCCTAAAACCTCATGCAGCCAGTAGTAGGCCCAGAAGAGACTGAAGGTCAAGCGTGAAGCTGCTAGCCTCACCTCGTAAAAACAACACCACTGCTAATGAAACTCTAACGCCTAAATCTCTAGCAAAATTAGTGCTTAAGATACCTGTCAACTCTTCTGTATAGGCGAAAACAGGACATAAACAGCTTAATTTCACCCTTTCTACTTACAGTTTTATTGTTATGTAAGTGTCATTGATTAATTGGACGTTTCGTTTCATGGAATGCATTCAAATGAACTTATTTAATAACTTAATCAATGCTGAGTTTTGATGGTGGAATATTCTAGAAATTACTCATGCATTTAATATATCTATTTCACACAAATCTTCACATTTGATTTAGTTCATTTTCTTAAAAACATATAAGCGCAATTTAAAAGACTAAAATACCTAAATTCAAGGATAATATTGACTTCGGAGTGATCAGTGTAAGCCTTCATAATTTTTCAACCAGTTAGGTGTGAAAATTTATTACATATCTGTACTTTCAGTTACACGTGATTCTTCGTAAACACCAATAAATGCTTCTACGTTTACTTTGATTCGAAAACATCACTGTGGTGCAGTGTGGGAGCCTGAATAGAACCGCAGTGAAGCTTTTGGCCATGGCAATTAACAGTGTTGGTTTGACTGTCAAAAAGCTTAAATTTCATCGAGGAATACGTCCACGGCTTCTTGTCAACTGCTAATAATTCCAACAAAGGGAACCATTTTTCTTTTATTCTTCCATATAAGTTAGTTTAATCGCCTTCAGATAACGCATATTCCTAAATGCTTTTTGAAGACTGTATAATTTAGAATTATTTGAAAGTGGAAAGGCTGGTTGAAGAGAAAAGTATCTTTTAAAGAACTACTTCTCTATAATTATTGTTTCAGAAACTTGAATACCTATCAACACAACATTCTCATTTTAAAAACCACTAAACACTACCGTATAACATTTTATTTATCAATCCTAAACCGTTTCTGCTACGTAATTATTTTGAAAATTCCTGAATTAAGCTTACCTATCCTATTGTCTTTATCCTCGTATAATTTACATATTGCATTACTTATTTCTACTGTATTATTAGCGAATATTCATTGAATAAGTGTAAAGATATTTCGAAAAGGAAAAAAGGAACAGGCAAGAAACGACAACTTTCCGATTCAGAAAACGAAGAAAGTCAAAATCTCCTTCAAAAAACTAAGAGTTTTATGAAGACCCATCATGTAAGTAAACGGTATACACATTTTAAAAACAAAATTATAGAAAACTAAATATTTTAGTTCATCTTTGATCATAACATGAATAATGATGAAATGTACCCATGAATTTATGAATGAAGAAAAAATAGGATTCACTTAGCGAAGAAATTTTCATTTTCAGTGATTTCACTTCCTAGCTGTATTTTTTCCCCTTCACATTCCCCAGTGGAACATAGGGCTTCAAGCTAGTGGCTTGAAGTTTCTGTATTAGCGTTTATTTTATAGGATGGGGTTGCTAGCCCTATGCCCAACCTTTCCTCTTTACCAGCATTATTTCTGGCTTAGCGAGGTAGGGGAGTGCGTCTGTGGCCGGGGGTCGAACCCCGAACCATGTGCATTGTCGGTGACTGTCCTAACCGCTGTGCCACCGACGTCCTAGCTGTATTGCTTGCTTTATTTATAATAAGATGAGAGGCTTTCAGTGTCAGTAAAAGTTCCTCAGTAGGCATATATGTGACAGAAAAGTAATTAACAATCTTATTACGATGTGTGGGCGGCTGATCACGGTTGAAGTGAATGAATTACAGAATTACACAAAGTTGTTAAAGTGAATGGAAATTAAAGGGTTAAATATGGGTCGAGTACCGTCAAAAAATTGGAAAAATCCACATTAATAAAAATGGTAACAATAATGAAAACAACAACGGAAAACATTATCAGGACCAGGTTGACGAATTGGGTTCTACAAATAGTTTTCGACCACTTAGTTTAGGTTTTTTAGACATACAGCTAATGCTTTAGTTATTAACTGGTGATTACAGTGCAGATATATAGGATGGTTGAATTTAGTCTCACAAACGACTTTAAAAAATAATTCTTATAGGGATAAATGACCTGAATCAAGTCGTCCACAAGTAGAAGACACTGTCTTTTTATAATCAGCTTTTTGTCAAACAAACTGGATGATGTTCAGCTATAGGATTCTGATGAACTCGTTTACAACGGCTGATATGTCAAGCTCCATAGGAATGTATGTGACATATTGGGTGCATACAGAGGTGGGCAAAACAATAGTTTATCATTCACGCATTACCATTACCATCATACTCCGGCTCGGCTATACCAGGCGGGAGTCAGAGACACAAAAAGTCTGCCTTTTGAACTTCAACAGACTTCTTTAAAATATCTTGGCAGTGGTATCACTGTTGAATACCAAATTCACAATAAGGGCGATTTGATGATGAGCAGTTTGTTTTTTAATGTTTCCTCTAGTACAATTTATCAGTGTTATACGACTGAATATATTTTTATTAATAACTTGGAGTCGCTTCACGTCATGATCTAAATATTAAGTGTTCTCAAATTTCAGTATGCAGATGCGATTTTATGAAGTGTTCATTGTGCACTACATGTCTAGTTTCGACGCTGTATAAACTTTATATCAGTCATCTGATCTGGTTTTCATATTCAGCTTCAGTGGATCTGATGCACATCATTCTTTTCTTTACACCAGAGTTGCTTGGACACACCTCCAGAGCACTGGACATCAGCACCTATAGCCTTAACTCCCAAACATAAACTGGCTAGCAGTAGTTATAAAATACTGGGAGAAGATTCACCACCAGCAAGTCCTATGTGTAGTCCAGGTCCTTCCAGTTCAATGCTTCATGTTCCAAAATATGATATGAAACAAACGGATAATACAGAGCCAGCTACAACTTCTAACAGGTCTGATGATGTAACAGAGATAAAGGTGAGTCATTTAATTGCACATTTATTATTATACAATTTACCATACAAATTTGTCGAAGCAAAATACTTTATTTGTATTTAATGCGACATTGCTTCAACAGTTTAATACAAGTAACGAATGTTTAGAAATTTATAAGTTCACTCTAATTTGATTCCCCGTAAATTGAGACATATAGCAGCTATAACTTCAAATAAATTCACTAATTATAGCACACATAATTCATAAATTCTGTTGTCAAAATGACACAGTTAAATGAAACTTTCCGTTACTTAGTCAATAAGTAACAGAGCTAATTAAACTGGAAAAAGAATATCGAATGGACTAACCACTGTTTTGTAAAACTAAATAATATCACAGGGAAGTTCACGTTCTGTTGCAGTTACACTACACATTCTGTTCAGAGAAACAAGGGTCTCCAAAATTTCTTATTCACTTCTTCTACTCGAGTCATGCCGCTGACTTAGTAACTTGATTCTCTGGTGGACTTAAAATTGTATTCTAAATTACAGTATCACGTGGATACAACAAAAATTGAGGTTGCGTAAGCAGTAAAGAATGAAAGTAAAATACAAAACGAAGGATGAGCTCTGATTCCATGGAAAATATTTGTCGTTCACTTACTTACAATTTTGTTGCCCTCCAAGCTTTGGATTTGTTTGGTATGGAGTCTCGATTTCCATCTGTGTGATATTTTCACAGCTGATTCATGACTGACAGTTTAAGGCATACTCATCAGTTATCCTAAATACATTGGATGATGAGTCAGCTAATATATGGACACAGTTATTCTATTATATTAAAATATCCCCTTTGAAAAACAGGCCACGTCGTTAAGCTGCCAAAGAAGGACTAATCAGTCCTCTGCAAGAATTAATGTGGGGTAATGCTCTTGTCCACACCAGGTCCTGTAGAGAATAAAGGACAAACTAGATAAACAACTCCGCCAGCTGAAACAAGCTGGATTCAGGAAAGCCAAATCATGTGCTGATCAAATTACAACTCTACGCATCGTCATCACAGAACAAAGCATAAAATGACAGTCAAAACTCTACCTCAACTTCATCGACTTCGAAAAGGTCTTCGACAAACAGCCTTGACGGAGAAGTGAGTTGGAAACTACTTCAACACTACGGCATACCTCAAGTCTTTATCAACCTCATTCAACAGCTATATGACAGTGGTATGTGTCAGGTGATTCACAACGGAAAACTCAGCAAGGCGTTTTAAATGAATACAGGATTAAGACAAGGCTACCTATTATCACCGATGATATTCTTAATTGTGGTCAACTGGATTATTCGTCAGATTGTGGAGAGTGTAGCGACAGGAATACGCTAGACCACTGATAAGAGAACTCTAGCGGATATGGATTTCGCAGATGATATATGTCTAGTGTCACACAAACTCGAAGGCTAGTATGTATGCTGCAGTTGTTTGCCTTCACCGTGAACATGTTTTCATCAGTTTATTAGATTAATGTTAACTGATAGTTCACTTATGCTTATCTATCGGTTTCTTTTTATATTACACTTAAAGTACCATAAAACTAACACATCGAAAGTTAAAGTTATAAAAGCCCAACTTAGATGTTATGCAGAATTAATTAGTCTTCATTACTAACAATAACATCAATCTTCTTTGCTTTTAATTAGTAATCAACTATGAAAAAGTAAATCACATGAATTATTTAGTCAATAAAATATTGATCCATATAGTTTCCCTTGAACTTGCGAAAATGTCATAAAAAAAGCCAGTGCCTTGAGTTGTGATTACTTACAATCCATAAATGTAGATAACAAAAGGTGAATAAGTGAATACTCATCACCTAACCATTTAGTGATCAGCCGTCTCGATTACATAAGTTCATTCACTACTTTTCAGACAGACTGCTATTCATACACTTTAGTTTATTTTGTTATTAACTGACAAACAACTTTTTATGGATGACTAATGTCGAAAATATTTTTTTGTAAAATTTCATAGAGTTCACTAATTAATAAACAGAATAAGGTCACATAATATGGGCAGAGATCTCGTTTTGTAACTTCAGAGGTTAACAAAATAAATTGGAGTGTATGAAAGCAGTCTGTCTAAAAAGTAGTGAATGATCTTATGTAATCAAGAGGGCTGACAACTAATTTGTTAAGTGATGAATATTCACTTTGAAACAATTGACGGATGGCAAGTGATCAAAGGATCGATAATGAGTGACAAAAATAATAAGAAGAAACTAAATAACTTCGTATAGTTTATTGGACAACACGTTAAGAAAGGAAAATTGACACTAATGTCAAGGTAGTAATGAAGCCTGAATAACCCTATGCAGAAAACAAATTTCAGTTTTTTCCTTATGGCTAGCTAGCTGCATGCTAAAGATGTAAGCAAAATCCTTTCGAACAGCTTAGTCGTACTTCATATACGACTTCATCAAATGAAGTCTCTGCAGATTCTGAATGGTTAGATGTAATAATATGCACCAGAACTGATTTGTTGAATGTTTTGATTTCCTAACTTAAATTATGGTAAATCAGATAGCCGGTTTAATTCTTCCATCATATTGTAGCAATAGTTGTACTGGAATCATAAAGATCAACAAATAGACTGAGATTATGAGAGACTAGTGATTGATATAAACACTTAAATATTTGCATGTTCCACGAGCTGTTTAACTGTAATGTCCTTTAGCTATTACAGATATTTACTGATACAAATTGCTTGTGAAAAGGATACCATGAGCAGTTTAAACTGTATGGAAGAAAATCTGTTCATGCTTTCATTGAGACAAGTTGCACTTTTAAATGCATTTAATTCATAATTTCCTGATTTCACAATGGTTGACGGTTATCTGTTGGTTGATAATTTATAGTAGAATTTAGAATACGCGTTTCACTTGACTTTGGTCTCATCAGCTGCAGATCCTTGTTACCTATGTGTGTTGATATTCCATTAAGTCTTCAACCCACTATCTATTGCTTCAGATTAGCGCTTAATTCTAACGCTAGCCGCAATCAAACAAGTAGTTTTGAGTACTTAATCCTGGCAATATCAGGGCACTGATTCCAGAAACCCATATATCAGAGTGAAACTGATCGATGTGTCAAATTTAGAGATGGGAATTTAGAAACATCAAAAGACGACAGTTATGCTTTTAGACAATCACAACGCAGTAGCATCTAAATGTAAGTAGTAACTTATATCAAAGCTTAATACCTGATTTCATTTGTAGTGGGAATTTGTTTAGAGTTTTGTCCTCTGTGTTACTTTAATACACTTACATCCAGGAATGATGACTGAAACATCTATCCTGTTAGAGGTGATGCAAGTGTAAAAAAGACAGTCTTACTGTGAATTAGCAAGTTAGAGAAATCAGCTTTCCATTTCTCAGTTTTTAGTGAAATGAAGCATGATCCTAGGTTTACTAGTTTTTTACATAACATAGTCATGAGGTATCTTACCACCAGGGTATGTGGAAGGAAGTCATGGGGTTTAATATTAAAGAATGTGTATAAAATAATGGAATTATGTGAGAAATTCTTGACTGAAAGCTGAGATTTCACTTTTCATTAATGTTATAAAGGACAAATTTCCTCATTGAACTTCTATAAATTAACCTGAAGTACACACGGACCAAAGTTTCATCAGATTTTGCCATCTCTTAACTCTGAAGGAAAAGTAGAAATGCTTTCCATGAGTTTAGCCCCTTACAGGCCTAGAATTTGCTTTCAGAAGGGCCTGCAATGGTGTTCCTCCAAAGAGCGTAGTAGTTAAGAATGTTGACACCATCAATTATCGAGAATTCTAATACACCCTAATGACTGATGAGATTTTCAATAAAATTCAGAAGTTCCAGTCAAGTGTGACCAATCATCTTCCGTTAAGATAAATGATGTGAGTATGAAGTAAATCCAAATGCACTTTTATGCAGATATCAGATTGCATAGACAACGTTTAAATATTTGTCAATTTCCAAGCTATTTGGTAACATTTTTAGTCATATCACAGATAATGCGCAAGAGGAACAACTTAATTAGTGCAGAATTTCTATACAAAATACTACACAAAGAAGTGAATAGGTTCGTAGACGTTTGATATTCTGCTGAGTCCCATAATTGAAGATAGGGCTAGAGCCTATGTTGTCTATAAATTTGGTCCAAGTCATATATGGAACTATTAATTTCGTATATAGAGTCTATGTAACAAAAGAATGAATGCTTAAAGACCATATTAAATGCGTGTAAGTACACATACCACTCTTCATATTTTTGAGAATCATTATAAGTGTATAGCTGTATCGCTACTTTTTGGTGGGTTATTGAATGACACCTAATATTATTATTATTTTATTCTAATATCTTCCATTAGTGAGTCGGTGGCACAGCGGTTAGGACGCTCGCCGACCATGCACATGGTCCAGGGTTCGATCCCTGACCGACACAATCCCTTACCTCTCTAAGCCAGAAATAAAGCTGGTAAAGAGGAAAGGTTGGGCATGAGGCTATCAACCCCATTCTGTAAAATAGACACTGCTACAGAAACCTCAAGCCACTAGCTTGAAGCCCTATGTTCCACTGGGGAACGTGAAGGAAAGAAAAAAGGTCAATACATGTGTTACAGTTTGTTAGTTAAAAAAAACAACTGTTCATTACAAACCATATCAAATACTTGTATCTTGGTCTGCCACAGTCAGAACAGTTCACTAAGATAGTATTAAATGAACAAAGCGAAAAACAACAAACTGAATAGGATAACATGATACAATTATATTTCGTCTGTTCTTCTCAAATGCATATAGTCTAAAATAATTTCCCTTATAATTTCCAAACTTTTACATACTTTAATTTATTATTTAGGGGATGACAATCAATAATACTGCTTAGCTGAATACACAAAATGTTAAAGGAGGAGAACGACAGGTATCAGTAAGCTTGTTGGCAGATGTAGAACAGTTACAAGTATATTCTAGAATCAGTAGCGGACTCCTGTACCCTGCTAAGTCATTAATAAGACAGGAAGAGAGGGAAGATTGGGCATGAAGCTAGCAACCCAATCCCATAAAAAATAAATACCACTCCATTCGAAACTTCAAAGACCTAGCTTGAAGCCCTATTTTCCACTGTGAACGTAAAGTAATAAAAAAATTAATGGTTGCCTTCTCCCGACTAATCAATTAAAGTATGTGAAAACTTTTCAAATTGATATTAAAATAGATTTTGGTTGTATGCGGTGGTGAAAAATAAACGAAATAAGGTAATATCACACCATTCTCTCTAATGTTTTGTTCTTGCTACTTTCAACAGCAGCAGTTGTATCAATGGTGTGCGCTAGTCTTCTTACACATAAACTATATCAACTACACACATATAACCATAGGGTGTAGTTCACTGTACTGTAGTTTGGTATAGTAAAACATATCTTTCACTTAACTAATATATCATATTTATGTATATGTAGACGAATTTATGCAGACTGGAGCACAACTTTCTGTCACAAAGACCTTTAGTAATAAAATGTTGGTTATAACTGATTCAAGCCTTTATCATATTTTTATTTATTTTTTTCAATATTATCAGGATTCTGGAGATACTGCAAAGGCTATAGAAGCTAGAATAAAAGATATGGGAAAAAGAATTTCGGGAGATAAGATCTAGTATATCTAGCTCACAAGCGAAAATAAAGTAATATTGTGTGAACATTTTGTATTGCTTTTTGCAATCAAATAAATTTTCGCTTCACAATTTTCTTCAAATATGTTTTGTTACTGAAATAAAATGTAAGTAGTGTAAGTTTTTCACTGAAATAATTCAAGGCACACATGTAGGTGTAACTACTGAAACATAAGGGACATAAAGATATAAATTAGTGTAGTTCACCTGACTAACACTTAAATTTAGAATATCTTTGAATATGAAGAAGTATTTGTCAACGTTTGCTTTGTGTTAGTATTTTCTAGTTGCCAATGTCACCTAAGGGTCGGACCCCCCTTAGATTGTCAATGCGTAGTTGGTTCAGTGGTGGGATACTCGTCTGCTACACCACAAGTAATTCGGGTAGGCTTGGGAAAGAGAGAAGGTTGGGTGTGGGGCTAGAGACCCCACTCCTTAAAAAAGAGTTTATACTGCTACTGATGAAACTTCATGGCTCCATCTTGAAGGTCTATGTTGCACTCGGAACTCACAAGGATAAAATAATAAAAATAATGAACACCAATAATCCCATAGGATTATTACTGTAATCAATGTAACTCGACAAAGAAGGGAAATTTAAGCATTATTATTGCATAATTCATCAAAAGAATAGAATACTTCAGTAATAGGATAAGTTGGATAACTTTGTTTTGTTCAAACTGTTGAAAATACCAAAAACCCCAGGCCATACAATAATACGAACTGAAACCAGGACACCATCATGGTCCATATTCATAAATTGGTTGGTTTTACTACACTTTGTAGATATGATGAAATTTTCGTTTGATCGAGAAACAGTGAGTTTAGAGACGAAAATGTAAGTAATCATTAGTTCTCATCTACTGGTACTATATGTCTGTTACCATTGTTAAAGATCGCATACAAAAAGGTTTCAAGTTACTTTTTAATCTATCCGTAAATCAACCCGGAAAAGCAGAAACAGTTGTAGCTCAGCACTTGCTTTAGCTAAAGACATTTATATTTTCATAAAAAACTGTTAACTTATAGTATTAGGCCGGTGTATTACAAATTTAACAGAATAGATTCCAAGTGATAAAACTATGTTATAAGGTACTCTGAACCACTGAGATAACGTTTACCAAAAATTCACAGAGTTGAAATATTAAGTCATTTCACAAAGAACTGATTCAAACAACAGATGCTTTTTAGCTATTTCAATGGCAATTTTATTACGAAATGGCGTCAGTAAGGGATGGAAATCTGTTTCACTCTAGTTTGAGACACTTCACCAGTATGACAAAAGCGAACAATATATGACTGACATTGGGATTGAACGGTTAGCTGAATTATTCGTCCAAACCACCTAGTCATAACTGTTAAAGAGTTATCTAAACTTCATCTTCCTTGGAAAGGTTTCGCTTTCCATAATCTTTCTTTGACAGCTGTTTGATAAAGTTAAACAACTCGGGTTATACTTGTGTTTCTTCGATTTCTCTCGTTTTTGTGAGACTCTACAATCCTGTCATTACTAAGAATATCAGATGGTTTACATCAAATTTGCCACCGCTTCTGATCATGGTTGAAAAATTACTAGAGAGGACAAGTCTTCTTAGGGAAGATCTAGCGTGTACTGGATCAAAGAACGTTGAACATTAAGAAAATCATAAACCTTACATTGATTTGACAGTCTGGAGATAATATAAATTGTTCTCTATTGGGCATGTTTTGTTCCCTGTTTTCTATTATTTAATACGTTCTCCTCAGCGTTATTATCTCATTTTTCTACGATGGCTTTTCCACCGATAAACGAATAACCATTGTTTCTCAGAGGAAGGTATTCGACTTATTACTTACATCAATTTATAAGTAACGTACAATACATTCGCCGTTCACTTACCATCATGAAGTCGTTTCTGAGACCGTGTACATCACCTCAAGGTTTTACATATGGCTGACTTCCAGGCTTCTCTTCCTGATATTCTTTTATCCACCTTTAAGGTAGACTAGTCTTTACGTTTTTGCGTTTATCACCTCTCTTTACAGTGTACACTGGACAGCGGCGTGATTTGACCACAAATGGTCCGTCATATTTCAAGAGTAGTCTTCTCGAATCTAGTCCAACCCAATGGTGTACTAACATTCTCTACACTTTACGTTGTCTCCAGCTTCAACTGCTTTCCACTACTTACCTTCTTTTGTTCAGTTTTCCCATTGTCTACGTTGCGTTTATGTAATATATTTTTTAAGACTGGTTTCTGCTCACCTGTCCAACTCCATCACTGTTATCATGACTAAGCTCTGTAGTGCATCGGGAGCCGTAGTTTCCTACTATACCTCAGATGAAACAACAATTTATTTACAGCTCTCTGCGTCAAGTCTCGATGTTATCGTAATATGAACTATAGCTCAGTCTCCCGATCCCCTCCCTTTGCTGCTAACATCTCTCCTCTATTATTTCCTGTTAAACCATTTGACTGAAAGTGATACGGTCTGATTTGTAGCCTAACAATACCAAATGTTTCCAATCGGGTCTTAAAGTCCTATATCACTGGAAATAGGAAAATTATTTTATAGTCTCTTCTTCTTTGCTCCAGTTTCTCCAATCACAGCCTCCCTCACAATGCACTCTTTTCAGGGACAGTTATCCATCACATGGTGTTTTGTGTCATTACCAGCATGTATTGATTGATAATATTATTATTATTGTCCTCTTAGGTTCCTAGGGGAACATAGAGCTTCAACTGCACGTCTCCACTTCCTTCTATCTTCTGCTGTACTTTTCACCTGCATCCATGTTAGTCCGTACTGTCTCAACTCCTCTTCACACGATCTCCTCCAATGTCACCCTTGCACTGACGTCCCACTCGCCGCTTCCCTTTCGGCCTGGGTCCACTCGAGTGATGGCCTGACGCGCGCGCGATGTCACCCATCGGCCTCCTCAGCGAGCGAGTGTCCAATCCATCTCCACTTTCTCCTGCATATTTCTTGGTTGGCAATTGGTTCTTGTTTTGTTTGTTGCCAGCCATAGTTTCTTGTTGGTGATTCTTTCCGGCTCGGCCATCTGATCTTCAGTGTAGAGCGAAGACAGTTGGGGGTTGATAACGGTCTGCAACAGGCTGTTGGAAATATTCTTTGTGACCCGCCCGCCAAGTTTCTGATATGTATAGAAGGACTGACTGACTTGACGTTTGTATTGAAAATCCGACCGAATTTTGTTGTTGATGCTGGCTGAGTGACGAAGATTTCCAGACTGGTTTCAGGTTGATGAATGTGTTTCTCGCCTGCCTTCCCGATTCTCGCTCGATTTGACATCCTCGTCCGTTCCGACTGGCTGTAGTTGAGACAACGCTCCCTAGATAAGTGAATGAAGTGACCTCTTTCAAATCCCTGCCGTTGATGATGATTGGCGCTGGATGTTGCTGTTGCTGTTGTTGTTGGTTGGTTGGTTATTTTCATAACTTCCGTCTTTTCTATGTTCACCTGGAGTCCTGTCTTCTCTGGCTGCTTCTTCGACCAGTTTGTCGGTCGGTTTTCGCTTGTAAGTCTTCGATTTTGTGTGACATCAGACATAAATCATCCGCGCGCGAAATCCAGGTCTTGTAGGTTCTTCACGTCGGTCCAGGATATCCCTGTTTTCTCGTTTCCCACTCACTGTCTGACGCATAATCCAGCCAGTCCACCACAATTAGGAATATCATTCATTGATGATAATAAGCACCCTTGTCTGACTCCTGTGTTTACTCCCGAAAAACGCCTCGCTGAGTTTACCGTTGTGGATAACTTGACATGTACCGTGGTCGTACAGCTGTTGAATAAGGTTGATGAATATTTGGGGTACGCCGTAGTACTCGAGTAATTTCCAAATTACTTCGCGCTCAACGCAGTCGAAGGCCTTCTCAAAGTCTATAAAGTTGAGGTAGAGGTTTCATAATTAATGTATGGAAAAAGGACGCATGAAGTCGCTAAATAATGTTACTTCATAGACAAGATTTGAAGCTCAGGTATATGATTGCAAATTAGTTGTGTTCTCTAAGGTGGTTGGTTTGATTGTGGAGCTTTTGTCATCCTTCTAGACTACATCTTCAGTGCAAGTTTTAGCATAAAATGAACTGATTTGAATTCTCCATGAATGGTAGAATTACGTCGATTTACACCTGTATTGATCATGTTTTATTCACTAGGATTTTGAAATTTCTCGTCACATGGTTTACTTTTAATTAGGCGATAGATTTGGTCTATATTAACATGTTTTTTAACCGCATATTCGCCTGAGTACCAGGCTTCTAGGAATTCTCTGGTATTTTTGGTATTTCCTCTGTTCTCTGTTGTCAAAAATGAGAAGACTTTGCCCAGAGGCAAGTTTCTACAAAAGAACGACTATTCTTTCTTCATGAATGTCTCCGCAGGCAAATTTCCCCAGCTAGTGTCAAAAATAAACCACCAATTAACTGCCCTCTGGGCTGGAAATTAGCCAAACAACATGGAAAACAAATGGTGAAATTAATAATCACGGACACACACAATAGGATTAAAAAAAATTACCAGCATATGGTTAAATTTCAAAAAGAAAAAATTGAACAGACTTTCGCCTTAGAACATTTATCAACATTGAATACTGCCATTAAAATATTAAGCGAACGATACAAGAAACGAAGACGAGTTGTCCTCAAAGAATATCCAAACAATCATCTGAAGAAACTCTTGTTGATTGTGTAGTAAATCCATCGAATCAACCGTTATCGAAAGCAAAACGACAACTTCTTCAGAAAGGACTGAACTACAATACTGGTGACGCTTTAATATTAAATTTCTGTGCTTCCTTAGAATCATCACTAAAATCATCAAAATAAGTGAGGAAGTATAGCAAGAAATACGTCAACGTATCATAACTATAATCAAATGGAAAAGACATAATTCCCAACTTAGCACTGAAAAGCAAAATGCATTGAAGAAACTGAAGAATAGAAAAGACATAGTTATTCTACCGACTGACAAATCAAGAACAACAGTAATCCTGGACGCAGAAAACTACATAGAGAAGGCAGATGATTTACTCGGAGATATTAATGTATATCAACAGTTGACGAA